TGTGCAAGAAACTGAACATTATTTACAACATTCATATTTCACATTCATACGAATTGGCCACCAAAAACACACTAAGCTAGCTGACATGAATAACTGCTTGTTTCTTCCTTGCTTCAACTCATGGAATAACTCAGGTGTCGCCTGTAGACCCACCAAATCCAAATGCACTGTTGAAACAAACACGTCCACAAGATTGTGAAACCCATGTCAAGGACTACACACATAAGGCTGTAATTTATTTGCACCCTCATTGTCACCATCTGTTCATCACAACACTTTTAAAAGTGATTTCCCCTTAGACAGTGTGTTGAACATCTAATCGGATCTAATTTTAGCACAGCAATTTTCAGTGTCTTCCTCACATTCCCCTGCCATTACACAAGTTATCGCAACCTTACAACCTACATTTAATTAGCTGCGGCAAGTCAATTAGTGTCCTGGAGAAATCACCATGTGCTTATCAAAATGACCATTGAAGGAAAAACTGAAAATACAGAAAATACAATGAGTGGAATTATGTCAGATAAAGAAGAAACATGAATGTGAAACAAGAGGAGGGAGTTTGATATTCCCCAAACGGGTCGCTGTTGTCTTAAATATCAGATAAATATAAAGGAAAAATTATGCATTATGCTAGAGGGTTTGTCATCGGATTGTCTGCCAAAATAATGATGAGCCCAAGCTTTCAAAGTAAGAGAAATGAAATAAATACTAAGTTTCATGATTTAATCATTTGCTCTATATAAAAATCCAGACATGTTGCATAACATTGTACAATAATAGAAATTGTCCAGATGACTTTGCAGGATGCATCTCAGAGCCATTTTTTAGGATGAATTAACTGGGACAGATGGCTCAGAGCTGAACTAAGCATGAAATATCTCAAACACGCTTTTCTATTACGGATTAAAGATAATGTATGATGAACAGAAGCACCATAGACACAGCATTAGTTCCATATTTGCATACTTAAAGAATATGAATAGTTCTAAACTATGTATAAAATAATATTTATGCATAAATCCTATTCTATATTTTATATTTCATAAATTAAAAATAAAATAAATGATTTTAGTTGGTATAATTAGTGAATTTAAGCATCACGACAGGGGCAAAGCCATAATTTCAGAAGTGAGGGGAACAGAAGTAACAATGATTTTATCTAATTGACCATAATAATAATAATAATAATAATAATAATAATAACAATGAATAAAAAAATTCTTATCTCTTACTTTTAATTAACTAAGAAATCAAATACACTACTGGACAATAACCAATAATTTGTATTCTATAATATTTTTGTCTGTATTTTCCTAATGACAATTTTATGATTGGTTTATAAACTACAGATACTTTTTAAATTTTTATCACAGAATAAGGCAGAAAATATATTTTATAGTTTCTGCACTGTAATAAATGATATGTCAGTTAGCCCTGCATCATTCATATACTTTATTTATTTATTACCTAGAGATGACTTGAAAAACATATATAAACCATATATTGTCACAATTGTTTTAAATGTATTGTCTTCATGTTTAATCACTCAAAACGTTCCTGCTTTTTATTCAGCCTCAGCTACAGAGATAGCTGGATGCTTTTGTCCATATTAAGGATTTCCTGGCACATCATAAGTTATTATTACTTTATTATTATGAGACAGTTTTGGACTTTCTGCGCGAGCGTGTCCTCCAGCTCCGAGTATGAATGAAACATACACATGAGAGTGCTCTGCACTTCGTAATGTTCACATCGTTTTGCATATGAATAAAATGTATCCAAAAATCTTGTCTCTTTGAATTTAAATATAGATTTATTCACAGTGGCCTTTGAAAAGCTCTACGTGAACACACACGCCCGAAAATAGTGCGGGGGATGAATTTACGGTATGAAAACAGTATGAAAACGGATTTTCATTTTGAGATTAGCTAAATATTGCATTTTGCTAAAGATTACATTTAACAGTGTTATTAAATTATTGGTGTTTTAGGGATTGTGAGCATTAGATGACTACAAACAAGTAATAAAAATATAAATGTAGAAATGAACAATAATAAGCATGCACAATTAAATCTACCAATTCTGTTAAATTAGAAACAAATGATATCTGATAGGGTAACCAATATGGCACTTTTGTATTGTGCAGCATGTTTAATTTTTATTTTCAAAATGTCAGGTTACACTTTACTTGAAAGGGTGTGCATAAGACTGACATGACACCTTCATAATCATGACATGACATGACACCTACATAATCATGACATGACACATGTCATGAATATGAAGGTTTTTTATGCATGTTTATGACAACTGTCATTAAGTGTCATTCGCTCAGTTATGTAATTTTTAATGCAAAGATGACATTGTTTGAGATGTCTTTGTTATGGGCTATGGTTAGGGGTAAGGGTAGGGGTAGGGTTAGGTTAGGGTTAGGTCAAATAATGTCATATTTGCATTAAAAATGACATAACTGAGCGAATGACACTTAATGACAGTTGTCATAAACATGCATAAAACCTCCTTCATATTCATGACATGTGTCATGTCATGATTATGAAGGTGCCATGTCAGTCTTATGCACACCCCTTCAAGTAAAGTGCTACCAAATGTCACACATGATTTCACTTTAAAAATGTTGCAAGTTGCATGCAATAACATCTTTGTGTTTATTTTTTTTATTCACACTCGCTCTTGGGACTTGTTTATGTTCTTTTGGAGGCAGTTTTTTTTTTTTTAAGATTGCAGTGTGCATAAGAAGAAGGCATCCTAGAACAGAGGAACCAGCAGATCTTTTAGTCACCCATTCTTGTGTTGCATTTTATGATGCAAAACAACTTCTTACACAATGTGAAGTATTTAGCACAGCGATTAAAATATAATAACGGAATGTCACACATCCCTCCAGATGTCAGATGGATGTATCTAGCACACATTTGTGTTTCTCAGAGGATGTTGCTTTCATTTTATTCCAGCACTCTGCAGTCATACTTTCCTCTGCTTTCCTTTAGATTTCAAGCTCTTGTGTTCTGAATCGCATCTAATTTTATAACGGGAGTCCCAGCAAGGGATGATCATCTGAAGTGTCCAGCTGTGCTTACACCCCTACCCTGCTCATTTATTAACGGCCTTGCATCAATTACCCAAATGCACAGTGATTTTATGAAATATTGAAGTGAAGCAGAAATCCTTCTCACTGACTCAGGCTTCTGGTCCATATGTTTCACAGCTTGCAGGTTCGGCTTCTTCAAAAAGCTTTGCTCTCACAAACAGTTATGCAGATTGTAGTGGACGGTGCCATGTCAGTCTTATGCACACCCCTTCAAGTAAAGTGCTACCAAATGTCACACATGATTTCACTTTAAAAATGTTGCAAGTTGCATGCAATAACATCTTTGTGTTTATTTTTTTTATTCACACTCGCTCTTGGGACTTGTTTATGTTCTTTTGGAGGCAGTTTTTTTTTTTTTAAGATTGCAGTGTGCATAAGAAGAAGGCATCCTAGAACAGAGGAACCAGCAGATCTTTTAGTCACCCATTCTTGTGTTGCATTTTATGATGCAAAACAACTTCTTACACAATGTGAAGTATTTAGCACAGCGATTAAAATATAATAACGGAATGTCACACATCCCTCCAGATGTCAGATGGATGTATCTAGCACACATTTGTGTTTCTCAGAGGATGTTGCTTTCATTTTATTCCAGCACTCTGCAGTCATACTTTCCTCTGCTTTCCTTTAGATTTCAAGCTCTTGTGTTCTGAATCGCATCTAATTTTATAACGGGAGTCCCAGCAAGGGATGATCATCTGAAGTGTCCAGCTGTGCTTACACCCCTACCCTGCTCATTTATTAACGGCCTTGCATCAATTACCCAAATGCACAGTGATTTTATGAAATATTGAAGTGAAGCAGAAATCCTTCTCACTGACTCAGGCTTCTGGTCCATATGTTTCACAGCTTGCAGGTTCGGCTTCTTCAAAAAGCTTTGCTCTCACAAACAGTTATGCAGATTGTAGTGGACGGATGACTGCTGATTAAATCTAATTGTACAAAGGTCTCTACCTTGTTATGCATGAGTGTTCCTGGCAATTCTGAATTTATAACAGTTTTACATTTGAATAGCCTTGCTTTTCTGCTGTAAATAACAACGTGATAAATACGTTTGATGGAGAAATGCTAGTGGTTCATTGGGCACACACACAAAAAAAAAGTACACCAAATGCCTAATAAATAGCAACTGAAATGCTTCATGTTGGAATGTATATTAGAGGTGGCGATTTTTCAGCGACTCTTTGGTTACGTTAGTAAACCAGTGGCGATAAGTCTTTACGAGTGAGTCTTTTGAATCATTCACTCAACTGATTCGTTCAAAAATGCAGACTCATTAAGGAATGAAACAAATGACAAGCTGCAAAATCGATTACTCCAGAAGGTACTACTTTTGATTTGAACCTTACTTCACCACCATTAAAAAAGTATATTCTATGTAGTATGAATATGGGTAGTATGAATGTAATTTTGACACACATAAGCAATGTGGTCATGGTGATGTAACCAGGGTCAGTTGCGTCTTTTCAGGAACAGCCATTGTTGCCAGTTCTAATGTGACAGTTATCAAATTAGTAACAGCAGACATATGGAAACTACTCACCTTTAGCAACGTCATTTGCTATTTTAAAAGCAAAATAGACCACTTACGTGATTTGTCTGACAAGCACGCATCTGACTACAGAAGCAGCCAATCACGTGTCCAATAAGGGTGTGTCTGACTACAACTGTGTCCAATCGCGTGACTGACTACAGCAGCAGATACACAGGGAACAAGGTGAGAAAAACAAGGCAAGTCAGCTTTTCTTTTTGATTGATGAGTTTGCATCTCTGTAACTGAGGCTTGAGACCTGAATCAGTTGTATAAAATGGACGCAAAAGGGGCTTTGGGATGCTTATTTCTTCCTACTTTTTACATATTTGCATATCGAACTGTCATATAAACAAGCACTCTTGCTTGTGTGATACTTTGTTACTTTTAAAGTATTTATTGTTACCATTAAAGCAGTTTTATAGGCTATCAAACCATAGCAGAAATGATGATGACAACATGCCCTCTTCTCCATCCCTTGTGTCAAAAATGTCGCTGCATTGCTCAAGGGCATGTGGCTTTGATATTTCACTATGCGATTATAGTACATGACTCAGCCTAACTCTTCTTTGAAGAAACAAAAGTGTCATTTTCAGACTTAATTAACCTTTGGGTGCGCTGCACATTTATCTCATTACGAGCAACAAAGCATGACAGGTTCCTTTTCTGATGTTCTTTCTCAATGTCACTTTTTGTTTTTCCCAGTTCATTTGACTTGTTTAGTTTCCCAACAAAGGTAATTCCAACCTATTTTTGGTCACAAGTTCATAATTCAGATTCGCATTCTGTTTCAAATAACTTTCAGGCCAAACGAGAGCTTTGTTTTCTATTATTAACAAAGAGAAACGAAAACCATGTGCAGTAAAACTTTGAAATGGCCATTTTGAAATCGTCTTAATAAGCTCTGGAGTCTTTCATATCTTTCGTGTGGCCTCCAGGGACATGTCACGTCGAGATCTACTGATCTTCGGCAACATGCGAACCAGCAAGGGGAAAAAAAGCCAAGCATCCTCCTCTGCAGCGCTCAGAGAACAAACACACATACAAATCAACTCGACTCAAACCGAGACCCCAGGGACACATGAATCACGGGCAAACGGCCGCCCTGCCTAGTGTTCCCTTTCAGTCGGTCACTCCCGACGTCACGTCGGCTGACCGACGAAATTGGGATCTCACTTAGAGAGACCAATCCACTTCGAGTGTAAACTAAACGAGCCAATGCACATTGGCATGCGATGATTG